CAAATGAACGAAATGATCAGGGAATATGTGATTAAACAGCCGAGACCGGTCGATAAAAACGGGACAATCTTCTTGCAAAACAACGCTCGATCACATGTTCAAACCATAGGAGCCGGACCTGGAAACTTTCTGTTGCCCATCTATTATTCATCAAGCCTTGCGCCAACTGGCTACCATTTCTTTCAGGAGTTGGACCGTTTCTTGCAAGAGAAAATATCCAATTCTGAAGAAGCTGTGGAAAGCGCCTTTCGCTATTTCATCTCCTCTTGTCCTCCAGACTTTTTCGCTGTCGACATAAGTTACCGTTAAGTTGGCAAAACTATGCCAATAGCTTAGGCGCATATTTTAACTGATTGTACTGCTTTTTGTCTGAGACATAATAAAGCAAACTTTCGATTCGAAATCGTACATTTCGTACTTGATGGCATCATCATGTAGCCCATCTTTTAGAAGCAATGTAAATTAGAATATATAACAGCTACTGTGTCCTCTTCCTTTATTTTTTTAAAATTAAACACACCGAATGCATGTACGCCTCTTGCACGATGCATGTGTCGTAATGCACTAACTTTTCATATTTTGCTTCGAAACCACAACGCCATCGCTCGCCAGTAAAATTGGTTGTAGTATAATTTGTAAACATTCTAGATGAGTTTAGATTATAAAGGACCAAGTGTCTAGATGCACCTGTACTACCAGCAACCGAATTACTCCCGTCTGTTTTTTGTTTTTGCCTAATTCACCTTGTGGTTCATACACATTTATTTCATACACAATAAACTCATTACACATGCGCATACACTAGTAAAAACTGATTCAAAACTTACCATGGAACAGTCTGTATTTTTTTACTTGGTCCTCTTACGGTATCGGCCATATTTTTGAAGTTTTGTATCATCAACCGCAGCGTTCCATCCGATGAAGTGCTCGACGTTGGAGAACTAGCATCAGTGGCAGAGGAGGAGGCCGCAGTAGTACCTGAAGAGAAAGGTTAGAGCAGTTAACAGGCAAGGAGCAATTAATACAACTGCAAAAACACATCTTAAAACAATACAATAAACCGGAGAACTTCTCTACAAATTGCCCCTTCTTCCGTTTCCTCCCCCCGCCTCCCCTCACTGTCCCCCGAAGAAAAAAACCTGTATGTTTTCAAAATTTATTTCATTTCCCATTTTATTAATACTCAGTACTCCTCACATTCTAGCAGAAAAAAGGAATGCAACGATCACAAGAAGCTTGATCGGCTGGAAAGGCATCTCTGCAGTAATAGATCTGATGATTTGCCGGTTCGCCACAATGAAACTACAGCCCATCAAAGCACCAAGGCAAGTAATAATAAGTAATTCTCATCTTTTTTAGTGACTACTTTCAGTAAAGAGTTAATAATTTTCATCTTCTCAGTAAGCACGATTCAGTGAAAAGTTTGTAATTCTTACTGCAGTATTCCAGTGAAGAGTAAGTAATGTCAGAAACCACTATTTCAAGGGATATTTTCCCGTCTAATACAACGGAGGAAAAAAAAGTGTTGCAGGGCAATGTTGACAATATTTAACACTAGAAATGAGAGAACTGAAATTCAGAATGTTTTCCTTGTACCGAAACGGACTGAATTTGCAGTATAATAAAAACTGCACGGTAAAAAAAAAAAAAAATTCATCTACTGTGCACGCAATCGTTTAGCTAGACGATCCTCGGAATCAACGGTAAGTTGGGGAATTAAAAAACCTTTCACCATTTTTCCAAGTGATAAGTATTTTTTGATATTTTGCGTGCATCGATATCCTCAAACTGCCGAACCAGAACAACCCTGTTCACGTCACCAATACTACTGTTTTTAAAGTAGTGAAGCATGGATGCGAAACTAACACCGCCATTAGAAAAAAAGAAAGCGAAAGACTCGCAGACTATTCGTTTTTAAGCATAAGCAGTCATATTCTCCTACAGGACTCGTTAAGTTGGAACAGCAACAGAGAGACCAG